TCATTGGATTCCGGTGTTCCGATCACCTTCATGGCCATCAGTGTATAAAATCAAGCACCTAGGCATGCAGACTGCTTCTACAAGCATTTGTGAAATAATGGGTCACTCTCAGGAGCTCAGTGAATTCAAGCGTGGTACCGTGATAGGTTGCCACCTGTGCAATAAGTCCATCTGTGAAATTTCCTTGATACTAAATATTCCACAGTCAACTGTTAGTGGTATTCAACATGGAAGCAACTGGGAACAGCAAGTCAGCCACCAAGTGGTAGGCCATGTAAAATGACAGAGTGGGGTCAGCGCATGCTGAAGCACACAGTGCACAGAAGTCGCCAACTGTCTGCAGAGTCAATAGCTAAAGACCTCCAAACTTCGTGTGGCCTTCAGATTAGAACAACAACAAGCAGAGATCTTCATGGAATGGGGTTCCATGGCCAAGCAGCTGCATCCAAGCCTTATATCACTAAGTGCAATGCAAAGTGTCGGATGGAGTGGTGTAAAGCACGCCACCACTGGATCTAGAGCAGTGGAGACCTGCTCTCTGGTGTGATGAATCACACTTCTCTGTCCGGCAATCCGATGGATGTGTCTGGGTTTGGCAGTTGCCAGGAGAACGGTACTTGCCTGACTGCATTGTGCCAAGTGTAAAGTTTGGTGGAGGGGGGATTATGGTGTGGGGTTGTTTTTTCAGGGGTTGGGCTTGGCCCCTTAGTTCCAGTGAAGGGAACGCTTAAGGCGTCGGCATACCAAGACATTTTGGACAATTTCATGCTCCCAACTTGTTTGGAACAATTTGGGGATGGACCCTTCCTGTTCCAACAGGACTACGCACCAGTGCACAAAGCAAGGTCCATAAAGACATGGATGAGCAAGTTTGGGGTGGAGGAACTTGACGGGCCTGCACAGAGTCCTGACCTCAACCTGATAGAACACCTTTGGGATGAATTAGAGCGGAGACATAGGAGGGAGTGGATGGAGACACTCAGCTGTCAGGCTTTATTCACATAGCAGGAACTCACGTTCCCGCATGTGTTTTTTGGGCATTATGGAGCGTTTCCACTCATTCACTTGAATGGGCTGCCCTACGCTCAATAATTGCCCCAAAGAAGCTTCAGAACTTTTTTTCACAGTAAACAGTGGTGCGTGTTTCACTGTGCTTTTTAGTGCGTTTGTAGCGTGTGTCTGAAATGCACGGTAAAGCATGCATTTTCTGCGTGGTTTTCCATACATTGGGAAACACACAGATGTGAATGGAGCCTCATTGTTCTGTGTAAACAAACCAATTTCACTTTCAGGCCCCATTCACACCTAGCATAGTGGGAGCTCATGTTTTTTGGCTCATTTTTCCCGTGACACGCATAAGGCAACCCGTTGATTTCAATTTCAATGTTTTTTTTACTGTCCATTTTCTGCATTTGTTGGCTGTTTTTTCATGTGCAAAATGTGTGCTTGCCTCTGTGTTTGGTGTGCCACTAACAATTAGTGGCACTTGAAACTAGTTAATTTTAGGTGTATAAATGTAGCCATACACTATACAATCTAACTGTACAATCTAGATTTACCAAAACTATATATCATAGGAGAAGACACCACCTATCTAATCACTCTGTATCCAATCACGCAGACCCTTGCACTACCTAGTTGATGATAGATCTAAAGGATATTGTATAGTGTATGGTGAGTTTTACAGAACTCAGGACACAATTCTCCTGTTTTCAATACTACAGCTCTGTCCATATAGGCGGTTATGTGATCGCTCAGCTTCTGCACACTCTGAAAAATTACAATCTATGGCTCTAGATTTAGTGAGAACGGTATACAGCCAGCTGGACACTGAGGTAAGGGGTGTGTAGGATCAATAGAAAGCTTTTTTTATTTCTGCAAAAGAAATGGTATATTTGTACATATGGGATATGGAAGTTAGAAAGAAAAAAAATGGTGAAAATAGCCTTCAAAGTTAACCTGTACTTTGTTCATGAAAGGCAAAGCAGCAAGATCACATACCTTTCTTCCTCCCTCCCTATGTGGTTAGATTCACCTTCCATTTGCTCTTCCACCACTCAGTTCGGCTGTTGGCAGTAAAGAAGAAGTACTGTACCTCCCCTTCTTCACATGTGGCATGCGGATGCTTGTAGATTGTCCCAGAGCTGTCACAAGTTTGTGGGGATAGAGTCCACAGCTCTGTGAAAGCTCAAAGTCAAAACTTGGAGCCAGGGGCGGACTGACCATTTGGAAATTCGGGCACTGCCCGAGGGCCCGTGGTCAGTAGGGGGCCCCATGAGATGCCCCTGATACCTTTTTTCATAGGCTTTTTTGAGTTTGGGCAAGGACAAAGGGGCCCCATCATCCCCTATTGCCCGGGGGCCCCATGAGTTGTCAGTCTGCCCCTGCTTGGAGCTTAAAGTGGAACTTTATGGCCCTTTCACACTGCTCCATTGAAAAAAATGAAGTAGTAAACCACATATGCATTTTTGGTGCATTTTCTGGTTGCCTGACTCCAATCATCAACCTGTGAAAAATGAACATGTGACTAAAAAAACACACCGAAACGCAACCACTGTGTCTTTTTGGTACGTTTTCCAGTCATCTCAGTGGGAAAGTGTGTGTAGGGAGATGCAGCGAGATGCAGCAGCAGTAAAGACACAGGGTCCAGATGCAATAAAACTTGGAACTTTTATTGAGGAGAATGCCAAATACAAACACTCCAGCAGGAGAATGCCACTTGGGGAGAACACTCAATGTTCAGTCACAGGCAGAGATGCAGCAGGAAGAGATGCACCAACAGCGTCTGTTTCAGAGGGTGAAGTGTGGGTGGCCTGGCCAGGCCGGTCCAGTCCCAAAAGGGAAGGCTTCCTTGATGATAGCGGATCCCTAGCCTGTCCTTCCTCATCAGGAACCTTTCCCTGCCACTAGTCACTTTCCCAGGAAAAACGCGCCAAAGCCCAGGGCAGGGACACTCACCGGCCACTTTATTAGGTACACGTTCAATTGCTTGGTAACACAAATTGCTAATCAATCATATGGCAGCAGCTCAATGCATTTAGGCATCTAGACTTGGAGAAAATGACTTACTGAAGTTCAAACTGAGCAACAGAATGGGGAAGAAAGGGGATTAAAGTGACTTTGAATGTGGCATAGTTGTTGGTGCCAGGCAGGCTGGTTTGAGTATTTAAAAAATTGTTGATCTACTGAGATTTTAACGCACAACCAGAGAATAGTCTGAAAAAGAGAATATATCCAGTGAGCGACAGTTGTGTGGATGTCAGAGGAGAATGAGCAGACTGGTTTGAGATGATTGATATAAAAGCAACAGTAACTGATGTCAATATGGACCAAAATCTCTGAGCAATGTTTCCAACACTTTGTTGAATCTATGCCATGAAGAATTAAGGCAGTCCTGAAGGCAAAAGTGGGTCCAACCTGGTACTAGCAAAGGGGTACCTAATAAAGTGGCCGGAGAGTGTATAAAGACCATGTTGACCCAAGATGGCCACCAGAGGTCACAGAGGTTTCCTCTAGCTTTCACTCCAGGCTGTGGTAGCACTTGTTTGAGAACCCCTACAGTGGAGTAAATAGACTGTAGTTGCCTACATGTGTTTTTGGTGTGCCTTTTAGGGCTCGTACACACTTGACTGTTTTTCCAACTCTTGCCTAAGGCCCCTATAGCGTTTGACAAACGTTGGTCCGTTGCTCCACAAATGCCGCATGCGTGGTTTAGCGGCGATTGCTAGGCGTTTTTTCAAGCATTAAACGCCCCACAAACGCCTATAATGAAGTTTGAATGGTGTTAACGCTCCGCAAACGCCCCGCAAATGCATCACAACCGCACCGCAAATGCCGGCCGGGCATTTGCGGAGCGGCACCATAGACTTGAATAGGAGGCTTCAACTCGTCTTGAGTCGACCAGAGGCATCCGTTTTGCCGCAACGCTAACGCTCCCGTTTGAACAGTACCAAGTGCTGCAATGTGCAGAATTTTCCCAGGCGTTTGGGAATTGGTAAAAAACGCTTCCCAAACGCCTGTCTTGCTAACAAGGCCAGTGTGAACGTAGCCTTAACCACTAGCCTACAGGGCACTTATACCCCCTTCCTGTCCAGGCCAATTTCCAGCTTTCAGCGCTGTCACATTTTGAATGACAATTGCGCGGTCATGCAACACTGTACCCATATGAATTTATTTTTTCATTTTTTTGAGACAGATAGAGCTTTCTTTTGGTGGTATTTAATCACCTCTGGGATTTTTATTTTTTCTTAAACAAACCAAAAACCACTGAAAATTTTGAAAAAAAAAATTTTCTTAGTTTTTGTTATACAATTTTGTAAATAAGTGATTTTTCTCCTTCACTGATGTGCGCTAATGAAGCTGCAGTGATGGGCACTGATAGGCTGCACTGATGGACACTGATAGGTGGCACTGATGGGCACTGATGAGGAGGCACTGGTAGGTTGCACGGATGGGCATTGACAGGCATCACTGATGGGCACTGAAAGGCAGCACTGATACATGGCACTGATAGGCGGCACTGACTTGCACTTTTAGGCAGCACTGATGTGCACTGATAGGCAGCACTGATAGGAGACACTGACTGGCACTACTGACAGGTGGCACTGACTGGCACTGATGGGTGACATTGAAAGGCAGCTCAGATGGGCACTGATATGTGGCATTGATGTGCACTGGTATGCACTATGTGGCACTGATGGGCACTGTCACGTGGCACTGATGAGCACTGACTGCTGGCACTGATGGACACCGACAGGTGGCACTTCTGGGGCCACACCGATCATCAGGGGACACTGATCATCAGTGCCATGATGATCAGTGTACATGTCCCCTCTGCGGAAAGCCGATTACCGGATCTCCTCTCCTCTCGAGCTGTCAGTGTGACAGCTCGAGAGGTGAGAATTGCCGATAACCGGCATTTCCATGTTTACATGTGATCAGCTGTGATTGGACAAAGCTGATCACATGACCGAGCCAGGACATAGCGCACCGGCGATCACCGCGCATGCGCAGTGAGAATGGAAGGACGTCATATGACGTCCTCCCAGAACGAGAGAACCACCTTGCGCCTGTCATTATACTATATGTTGGGCGGAAGGTGGTTAAACATGCGCCAAAAATGCAACATGAAGGACTTTTAAAAATACACCACAACTGCAGCACATTGGTGTAAAGGCATCTCTAGGATTTAAAGGGATAAATTTTTCATGCATTTCTGTTCTGCTTTTTAAACACCAAAGCACATAAAAAAAACTGATCAGTTTGAAAGAGTCCTTAGTCAGAAAATTAAGTTCTTATGGATCACTTCAGGCTGGCCCCTTTTGCAGGTATAGCTATGTAAAACATTAAAAATAAGTGCCTATACTATTTGAAGCCAGTAATGCATGATCTCATCCTGCTCTGCTCGGCTCATGCTCAGTTGCTTCCTAATCCCGGCACTGTGCTTAAAATCAGAGCCACTAGAGGCTGACCAGCTGACAGCTTTAAAGTGGTTCTAAACAGAATGCATTAAGGTGAAAAACATGTGCCCCCATTTCTTAATTGAGCCCTATCCTATCCGGCGATGTACATGAGAGCCCCTCCTCATTGGGCAGACTGCTGTCAATCAAATGCTGTGATACGGGAGCAGGGGGTCGTGTCAATGGACGCAGACAGGGTGGCTTGGGAGGAAGCCTGCATAGGTGCCCCCACGGAAAGCTTCTTTCCGTGGGGGCACCCGACGAAGAGGAGGGACCAGAGGAGGAGGATCGGGGCTGCTCTGTGAAAAAGCAACGCACAGAATAGGTAAATATAGACATGTTTTTTGTTTTCATAAAAAAATGAAAACAAAAGTTTAATATCACTTTAAGCTTTACTGTTGCTGAAGGGAGAAGAAAGCAACAGGTATGCCACTTACTGTATTGAGGGAACACAGATTAGGGAGGGAGAAAAGAAAAGAAAAGCATAAAGTGGAGGAGGAGGGAGGCTATAAGTGTGGCTTGATACTCCGACTATGCCATTTTGTGGGCGTAACCTAACATGCCCAAACACTAGGGGTACCTTGTCAGAGGCACACTCGTCAATGCCCAGGACCAGACGGGAACTATAGTAATGTGAACTCTCTCACATTAAGGCAGACTCCCGAATTAGAGATGAGCGGACACTGAAAATAGTATAAATCTGAAGCTCCTTCAGAGAGTTGTCCCCTTGCTCTATTCCCAGTTTGTTACATATATTGCATTCAGGATGGTGGGCCAAATCACTCCACCAGTCAGCATACCTAAACTACCTAGCTCCTGGTAACAGAATGAAACCCCATGGGATACAGAGTGGGTCTCATGCATGTCCTGTATACAACTCCTTCTGTTCTGTATCTTCCGGGCAGCATTGAAACCTCTGTGATGATATCTGCTCTCGGTTGTTATGGGAGATGGACCACTTGGGAGGGAGTCTGAATAGCGCCTTCTCTCTACCAGAAGATATCCTACCTACCAAGCTACCACACCTCGACTGGTTGCTGGTGATCCTGCAAGATGAACTTGGTTTCCCTTAGTAACGACCTTGTTCATCATTAAAGTGCAGCTTGCTTGTCACTGAAGTATCGTATACTTCATACCCCTCTAGTGCCTAAACATGCTCAGGTTCTTTGTATACACCAGCCCTATTAAACACCCCTTTTGAATAACTTCAGACCAGGCTTAAAGTGGTTGTAAATTCTTACATATACCCAGTGAAGTGACTGGCCTCAGGTGATACACAGAGATGAAGAAAATCCTTCTGCATCTGTTGCACCTGTCTATCTGAAGTCTTCTCTACATCTGTTCAAAGTGCTGAATTTATAAAGCTTGTCAGAGAGTTCTGAAAAAAGTGGGTGGAGAGCTGAAATAATACACTGCAGAGTCCTGTGAGGAGAGCTCTGAGAGCTGATTGGAGGGAAGAGACACACCCCTTCCATACAGCACACAAGAACAGAGCTGAGGCGTTAAGTCTGCTGGATGTCCCTCCCCATCACCATTTTTCTCTTTGTGACAGAAAAACTCGTCAGAAGTGATTCATACTGATAACAGGGGAAGGAAACTGCAGACACCTACAGCTGTTGAGACAAGTACACACTATAGAGGGTTATGATTTGTTTGTATTTCATGTCTGAGCTTAACAACCATTGTAAGAACAGGTTTTTTGGTGAAAACAAGATAACTCCAGAAAAGTGCAAGCAGTTCTTCCTTATCCCTAGCTAACTGTTAAAAGGTATGCCTGGGCCTTCTGAGAATCAGTTCAGCACATTAGAGTCCATATTATAGTCAAAACTGGCAGCAAGGTCCATAGCTGGTGGCATCCCGGGATTCTTAGCATTAATAGTTCCACTCTGGACACGAGAACAGCAGCACAACAGCACACTGGTACACACAGGGGCGCCGAGCTTCAGCCTTCCCCCATTTTAAATCACAAGTGGGCCCGCTGAAACCCAAACCAGCCCACAACTCGCAGCAAAGATTTTATCCCTTACTCAACCTATCCTGCGCTAGTACATAACAGCTTAAGCAGTTTTCAAACTGCTTACAAGCAGGAGAGGTCACAGGACAAATTCTGCTGAGAGGGAGACACAAAAGAGTTAAACTTACAAGAGTGTTGTATCTCCCTGATATTCTCTCTCATTGGCAGCCTGTAAACTTCAGCTCTGTAAAGCTTGTTAGCCTTCCTCTCTAGCTAAGCCAAAACATACAATCAAGGCAGGAAATGTATATATTTTAATTGCAAAAAGTGACAAATTTTTTGAGACCAAGAAGAGGGAAAGTTTCCAATAAAGAAGTGAGTGGGTCTGCGATTAAAAGTACCTTTACTCATATCTTAACAATGTCTCTTCCCCTGCTAGGCAGATCTAAAAGCTCTTAAAACAGAGGAGGAATAGTCCGGCATATGGTCCTCCATAGTAACTTGCACTATTAATGTCACAACTCTTGAATCAGCCTATAAGGTCTTAACCAGGTGGAATATAGTACCAACCAGACTCACCCACATAATCCCTGGACATTCTGGTACATGCGTTAGCGGTTGTGAAACAACAGAGGATGTCCTCCTTATGTGGCAGACCTGCCCAATGCTAGGTCATTTTTGGTCCAAAGTGTTGGCCCCCCTTTACAATTTCTTTGGTCAGAAATCCATGGTTTGCCCTCCTACATTTTAGACCCCTAAATCTCACTAAAGATCAATTCAAATTGGAACACTGTACTCCTAGCCTCAAAATTAATAATTGCTAAACCTTGAAAGAAGCAGTTCACTTGCTTCTCCAAAGTTCAAACCAGGCTAGATGGATTTTATGTCAACGGACATCTGACTAGCACTTTTACCAATAGCAACAAAAACTTTAACAAGATCTGGGACCTTGAGTCCCCTATTGCCACCCTTACCTTCTTTCGTGATATTTGACCAATCTTGCCCTTTCTCTTTTATTGCCTTCGTGCTGTGAGAGGGCCCCCACACCAGGTTTTCTTCCCCTTCCCCCCCTTCTTGCTTTCTCTCCTCTAGTATGGGCTTCTCTTTGCACAACTCTTTCCCAGCTGACCACTTGTTCCTAAACTGCTCACATATGTGATGTGTTGTATAGTATTGAGATTTTTTGTCATGATTCGATCTCTACCAAACTGGTCTAGGATGCGCTCTAGAAACACCACATCTTTACTTTCTATTCTTTCTATTGTGTTCATTGAACATATACAGTATACCGTTGATCACTGTATTCTGCTTATTCTTTTCTGTATATGTAACGTGGATTGTGAGATCTGTATTATTGGCCAAATTCAATAAAAAGTACCATTTCAGTGTTTGCAGATGACACCAAACTATGCAGTGGAATAACGTCCTTACAGGATGTCTCCAACTTACAAGCCGACCTCAATGCACGGTTCAATTGGGCAACTACAGTATGTGGTCAATGAGGTTTATTGTTGATAAATGTACATTTACGCTCTTGGGGCTAAAACCATGCATGCAATATACATGCTAGGAGAACAGCTGAGGGAATCAATGGTGGAGAAGGATCTGAGTTATCCGGTAGATTATAGGATTAATAGCATGCAATGCCAAGCTGCAATTTCCAAAGCAGGCAAAATCCTTTACCGTATAAAGAGAGATATAGACTCCAGAGAGAAAGACATCATGTTGTCTCTGTACAAATCATTAGTAGTACCTCATCTGGAATACGCAGTTCAGTCTTGGGCACCAGCACACAGAAAGGATATTGGAGAAATGGAGAAAGTACAGAGAGGGGCAACCAAACTGATAAGAGGCATGGAGGAGCTCAGCTATGAGGAAAGATTAGAGGAACTGAATTAATTCTCTCTTGAGAAGAGGCGATTAAGGGGGGATATGATCAACATGTATAAATACATAAAGTGGTTCATATAGTGAACTTGGTTTAGAGTTATTCACTTTAAAGTCATTACAGAGAACAAGGAGGAAAAGAGAGATTTAACCTCCAAATATGACATGCCTTCTGCTCAGCAAAAGCGGTGAAAATGGGTGAAAAATGTGGAACAGACTACCTCAAGAGCTGGTTCTGGCCAGCTCAGTAGATTGTTTTAAAAAAGGCCTGGATTCTTTCTTGGATACACAGAATATAACTGGATAGTAATATTTGTAGGTAAAGTTGATCCAGGGAATGTCTGGATCAGGAAGTAATTTTTTCCCCTGCTGGAGCAAATTGGATCATACTTTATTGGGTTTTTTTGCCTTCCTGTGGATCAACAGTGAGTGTAGGATTTTGTATATTGTGTTTTATTTCCTCCTTGCTATTGCTTGAACCGGATGGACTTTTGTCTTTTTTCACCAGACTAACTATAACTGTGTGACTGCTCTGGACTTCAACAAACCTCTGTCCTCCCGCATAAAGAAACAGGAGCAATGCTGGAAGCAGTTTACAGCACACAATAATATTGACAGAGTGCAGGTAATTAAGGTATGGAAGATGAGCGACAGGTAACCAAATCCAACACTAGTTAATTGGTTGTTTGATGTTAGAACATACTGTATATTAGTCATACCAAATATAGGCTCAGAGCACATGCTACATTAGTTCTTGTACTCATCACAAGACTTGTCAAAATTAGTGAGAATTACACACTGACCCTA